AATAAGAATTTTCATCAAATGGTACCAAACAGATATCAAACTAAGGTCAAAGTTTAAAAATACAATACAAGCATATTTCTAGAAAGCTCAACTAGTAAATAAATGCAAATAAATGCTCTATAATCAGTTTTATATGTTTAGTAAGGTATACATGTAAGTAAACATATTTAAAGAAAATTCCATTAAAAAAATCTTAAATTGGGAGCCATAACTTGTACATTTCTTTTCCCACAAAGTGTGATTTTCTAAGTACATATGAGCTCCTGGTTTCTTTTAGACAATAGACTTGATACAGGCCTTTTTGGATTATATTCCATACAGTGTATAAGAGTGTGGAAGAGATTGGGATAAGTTGTTTTATATAAAATTCAGACTGGAGGAAAGGAAAGATGTTGACTATTTCGCCAGTTTCTCCTAACACCTCATGATCTCCAAGTCTGGTGAAGACTGTTCATAAATTGGCAAACTATAGCCAACACATCAGCTTTGGTCCACTGACTGTGTTTGTAAATAAAGTTTTATTGGAATATAACCACCCTTATTGGAGAATTGTTCAAGGTTGTGTGCTGCAACAGCACAGTTTAGGTACAACAGCAAATATGTGGCCTGCGAAGCCTAAAATATTTACCATCTAGTCCCATCTTAGCCCATTTTGTGTCATTATAAAAAAATACCCAAGGCTGAGTAACTTAAAAAGAAAAAAGACTTATTTGGCTCATAATAAATTATTGGCTAATTACTGTTACTATAAAAGATTTATTTGGCACACAATAAATTATTGGCTGGCTCAAAGACTAGATACATGGTGAAAGCCTCAATCTGCTTCTAACTCATGGAGGAAGGTGAAGCAGAGCCACCATGTGCAGAGATCACATGGTAAGAAAGGAAGCAAGAGAGAGAGGGGAGGGAGGTGTCAGGCTCTTTTTAACAACCAGCTTTCCAGAGAACTCACTCACAGTTCCCACCCCAGGCATCAGTCTATTCATGGGAGATCCAAACACCATGCATCTCCCCCTATGATCCAGATACCTCCCATCAGGCCCCACCTCCAACATCAATAATCGAATTTAAATATGAGGTTTGGAGGAGTCAAATATCCAAACCATAGCAAGTCCTTTAAAAAAAATTTACTTATTTCTAGTCTAGTTCACAATTGTATAAAACAAATAGAATGCAAACCACATTTGCAATTTTAAATTGCCTTGCAGTCATATTAAAAAAATTAAAAGGTGAGATTAATTTTAATAACATATTGTATTTAATCTTATATATCCAAAATATATCAACATGTGGTACTAGGCACATTTCAAGTGCTCAGGAAGTATAAATGTTTACTGGCCACCATATTAGACACTGAGGTAATAAGTAATAACTGGGAGGCCCATTTTATAAAAAATCAGTTTTTAAAAAAGGCATTCCCAGGATACTAAAATAAACCTAAATTGTGATAGTTAAAATAACCTTGTTTATTCTTTTACTTATTTTAAAGACAAGAAATGCAGGGAAAAAAATTAAAACCAAGCAACCAACAGATAAAATCAGCCTTTTTCTTCTTAAAATATGATGAGGCTATAAAGAATTCTGTCATGTAGAGATTATGTTAGTAAGATTGTTTATTCTCTCCCTTGAAGCTAAATTCCTCCCACTACAATTTAAAAAGGTTCTATCTTGTTTTATCCTCAGATGAATCTGGAAAAGCAGCTCCCCATCACTAATATAATATTGTATTCCTTTAAATCCTTTACAATTCTGGCCTTCCTCTTCTATCCCAAAGATTTTTCTTTGTCTGGCTGCACATATTCAACCCCTCTAGCATTTTAAATTGGACCTATTTTCAAAATGTTTTATTGTATTTGTTGTTCTCTTTTAAACCTTTCCCCAAATCCATATGCACTCTTCAAATGTGAGAAGAAAAATTGAATACAGCATTCTAATAAAGTTCAAATACAGGCAAACACAAAGAACTCACTGAATAGCGCTCACATGCTATTCTTTTGTTTAAAGAGTTCACTCTATTGTTGGAAAATATTTTACTTGTGTCTCACTAAAATACACACACACACACAAAATCCTGAAACACAAAGTAACCTTAAACAATTCTAAATTTCACAGGCCCTCATTTTCCCACATATAAAATGAGTTTGATTCAAATCTTCTTCTTTAAAACTGATTTTTTCTTATGAAAATTAATGAGCATTTTAATATATTAATAATAAGGATAATGGAGAACTTATAAACATCCTTGAAATTTCTGCTTACAAAATTTTTAAATTAAAGAAGATTAAGATAACATAATTTCAACAACCTAACTCTAAGAGGATGAAATGCTAAGAGAACAACAGTATGTATGATAGACAATTAAGCTGTCCAGTACATAACTGGAGAAAATATAACTTTGGAGAAACACAAATATAAATAACTCCAGCTGACACTAAATTCAATGATAATAGAAGTATAGTATGTAAGACAAAGGAGGTGATAGTTCTGTCTAATTCAGTTCTTCTCCAACTCTAAAGAATGAAGGTTGGAAATTGTAGTCATCGGAGGTCAAGGGCAACAGTTAGAAAATAAAGTTGAAATCAGCCTACAAGTAGAAAAACAAGACACTGACATTTTATTGCTTCCTGAAATCAAGAAAGAAACAAAATTATACGAAGACAATGAAATCTATATATACTTTTACCACTACCTAAAGGGTAGCTCTTAAGTTCTTCAAGATACTGGAAATTGTAGATAATTTACCCTCTGGGAATTAAACTAGTAGAAGTGGAATTGGGTGAATGCGATTTGCTCCTGCAGACCCTAGCTATCCGAAATGCATGGGGCCAGGAGACATCCCTCACTCTGATACTATTCTAGTATATAATTTCCACCCTAAGATGCACACTTTATTATGACTAGAGAGCAACAAATACATGTTAAGAGGGGAATGTGTTGGCAGTCAGCAGGTTTCACCCACTGAGTTTTATTTACCCCCACCATATGATACATAATGCTGGAAGCATGATTCAATTTCCGACCTTATGTTCAGTTGTGAATGTTGAAACTTCACTGCATCTATAAAAGTTTGTCCTTAAAAAAATTACTTTTTTCTTTTTGTTGTTGTCTGTTTTTTATTTGGAGCACCCAGGCTAAAGTGCAGTGGCACACTCACAGCTACCGCAGCCTTAACTTGCTGGGCTCAGGCGAATCTTCTGCCTCAGTCTTCCAAGTAGCTGGAACTGCAAGCACACCACCATGCCCAGTTAATTTTTTTTTAATTATTATTGTAGAGATGAGGTCTCACCAAGTTGCCTAGGCTGGTCTGAAACCCCTGGGCTCAGACAATCCTCTTGCCTCTGCCTCCCACACCTCCAGCTTTGCTACATTGAGAATGTGCTGAGCAATGAACAAACTATATTTTTCATTGTAAATTAAAGAATTGTTATTCTAATTTATTCATTCTTTTTTTTTTTTTTTTTTTTTGATTTGGAGTCTCACTGTCGCCCAGACTGGAATGCAGGGCTGCAGTGGCCGCTCCCGGCCACCGCAGCCTGGATCTGCCGGGCTCCGGCGATCCTTCCTCCTCAGCCTTCCGAGTAGCCGGAATTACAGGCGTGTGCTACCACGCTGGACTTATTTTTTTATTTATTGTAGAGATGAGGTCTCGCTGCCCAAGCGGGTCTCGAACCTGTGGGCTCAGGCAATCCACTCACCTCAGCCTCCCAAAGGCGCGGGATTACAGGCTGAGCCACCGAGCCCTGCAATTCATTCATTTTTTAGGTGTTTGGTTACTGTGACTCGGTTCTCAAAAGGTTGACAAATCCTGGACTCACTAATAAAATCTAAATCAAGTCTCTAAATGTAAAAAGGTAAAGATTAATGTTGGCACCTCTGCCCCCAACTCTGCTGCTTTGAGGTAAGGCTTGAGCAGTCAATCAGCCTTTCTTATTGATGATGCATTCTTTTGCCTAACTATATATATGTACATATGAGATATAATGATGTCTTGTTTAAAGTCCTTATTAATGGTATTTTAACATTTTTCAAATACTGTTAAAGTAACAAAATATGTTAACAACATGTAGAGAAAAATCAGCTAAACTTTGTCTTAAAAATCCCATTTCCAAAAATATATTCTTTAAATAACAACCCTGATGAAAAAAAGTCTTAGGTTTATTGTTATTCACAGAAGTGAAACACAAAAAACAACCCATATATCGAGCCATAGGAAAACAATTTATGTCAGCAATAGTAGCAAAACAACATAGAGTATAATGCAGCCATTAAAAAATAAATTTTATACAGATTAGGTAATATGAAAATGTTTACATAAAAAATACTTTTGACACGTGCCTATAAATGACTTAGTTACAACGACATGTTGAGCAAATAGCTGGAAATGTAAAGATAAAAAGATGAAAAGGAATTCCTTACAGAAATCAGATTAAATCACTATATCATATTTAGAAGTAAAAAATAATAAAGATAATTCCAATTTCTGCTAAGCTGGTTTATTCTGTTTATGAAAATAAATGCAAGCCCCATCACTGTGTAGTAACTGAGGCTTGGAATCCTAAAGAGCTAGTAGCCTACAGATGCTAAGTATATCAAAAGAACTGTCTATACAATTATCTAGTTTTACTGTTACCTTTTGTTCATTCACAATAAGCATTTTTACAAGAGGTCAAATACTCTCCACTAAAAAAAAAAAAATAGATCCAAACTACAGAACATAGTTTTTTTTTTCCTTCTCCATGGGACACCACTTAGAATTTGTTAATATAAAACTGACTCAATTTTGTTAAGCCAGAAGCTATCTTGTTAAAAATAATGCCATAACAAGTATAACAGTCACTCAAAAGTTTACCCTGATTGACCTAAGAGCACTTGGTAGATGCAATCATCTCTGAATTCTTGTTTTTATGTTGATATTTAAGTGCCGCGTATTTATGGAAGCACTATTACTTCTTAACTGGTTGATAATCTTCTTTGTAAGCAGCAGTTTGATTTGAACTCACCTTACATGAAGACTCCGCCTTCAGAGCAGGGCAAGGTATTGGCCCAAGCTGATAGGAGCTGGAGGATTTCTGTTCTATACTTTTGTGCTTATGTGTCTCTGAGGCCGCTGGAAGTACAGACTCGGGCTTCAGAAGCTGTGAATCATCACAACAATTAAGAATAATTCGTGCTCTTTCTCCTGTCTCATGTCTTTCCAAAGTGCCTGGAAAACAAGATTAGAAATAAAAATTTCAACAAAATATTTACCTCAACAGAAGCAAAAGACAGAACAAAACACTCTTAACAGAGGAATCACAATTCTTTAAGTTATCATGCCTTACTATCTTCTTGCAACCAAAAAATAGCCTGGGAAATTTTTCGAAATTATTCAATACACCCTCTGGTAAAGGCTGAAATTATGGGTTTGGAAAGCTCATCTTCCTCTTTGTGCTTTTTCACCCACTGACATCAACAGGATATCGAATAGTCTTTAACAGTAAAATCTCTCATTATACAGTATGCAAGTGATCCATAACACACAACTATGGAATATTTTAGTGCTGTCCCCTAGTGTTCCAACTCACAAACAACAGAGAATTCACAATGCTTTGCTTGGATTCCCAGGCTTAAAATGTTTCTACTGGTAACATATAATTTAAAGGAACAGGCAAGTAAGAACATGGATGTTCTGTGTACTACCTCCCTCACCCAAGTGCCTCACAGGCTCTTGTTGTTGTTTTATTGTTGGTATTGTTGCCATTATATTCGTTGGCTTTTATTTCTTATGTTATTAGAAAGGGAAAAAAAAGATACTCTGCCCTCTACCATTCTTCCTGTTTCAGAATTTAAGAGTGCTGCTAAGTTCAATATAAAGTTAAAAAGAACAGGTATAAGATAGAGGCAAAGTATCAGAAAGCAATTCACAAATAGTTACATGTTTTTATAAAATACAATGCCATATGCACAGTGCAATCTCAATAAACATGAATTAATCGGCCTCTGACTCATATCAATTATGAGTTCATTTGCATTATTCATGCTATATTAAATATGTAACTTACAATCTACTGAATAAAGAAACTAAGGAAAATTAACATGACAAATAATACCTAAACACAGATTTTATTTCATCTTATCCCTTTCCTACTGATAAGAAAGAAGTAACTGTACTATTTGATAATTAAAAGATAATTAATTCTTATTAATAGTATTAAGAAAATATCAACTTAAAGTAATTACAATAAGAACACAGAAATAATAATTGCAGACCACTTTGTCTTTCAATAGGTAGGTAGATACATAGATGTGTTTGAAGACTATGACTATTCTATTCTTTCTGATTTCTCCCCCCTCCAGAATCCTTCTTTTATGGCAACTAAACTACTATTAGATGGTACTTAGATTCTGAACCAGTAACAGCTACTATGCTAAAATACCACACAGAACTTTAGTTTCGAGTCCCTTAACAACAATATATTTTCATTATAGCATTTCTACACTCATAAATCAACATCTTTAACAGATAAAAGGTATAAACAAAGCCGGGCTCTGTGGCTCAACCTGTAATCCCGCACTTTGGGAGGCTGAGGTGAGTGGATTGCCTGAGCCCACGGGTTCGAGACCCACCTGGGCAACTTGGCGATAACTCGTCTCTACAATAAAAAAAAAAAAAAATTAGCCGGGCATGGTAGCACACGCCCATAGTTCCAGCTACTTGGAAGTCTGAGGCGGAAGATCGCCGGAGCCCAGTAGGTCGAGGCTGCGGTGGCTGGGAGAGGCCACTGGACTCCAGCCTGGGCTACAGAGTGAGACTCCAACTCAAAAAAAAAAAAAAAAGGGTATGAACATGTTATTTTTCTAAGCTTTCTTTTTTCAAGACAGATCTATCTTCAACAAATGAAGCTGGCAGCAAAACCAAGAAAATATTTTCTCTCAAGACTGACAACAAGTAAAGTTTTGCAAGTGAAAAGATAATCATTACTGCTTCTTGAAAATGACTGCATTCCAGAACTTTTCACTGTGTCACCTGGTAAAATTCACTGTGTTTCTAAGAAGACTCTTTTTTATTATGGTATCACCACAGATATGTTCTTCTCACAGGTTTTCTGTGGCTCTGCAAACTATGATATTTTTAAGATAATTGAGAATTCTTGGGCAATAATTTATTGTATTTTAATCTAACTGGTATGTGCCTTATACTACAAACTTTGCATATCCCTATATTTGATCATATATCTAACGTTTTGCACAAACACAACACATTTCTTGTACTTTCAGGGATGAAAACAGTTTGCATATAAACTTAGGTAGCTGTAATCCATTTTCATTCATGCACAGATAAGTAATCTGCCTGAGCATCTGCTCTGTGCCATTCACTGTGCCAGATGACAATGATGTATAGTAAATAATAATGACCCAGTCCAAGTCCCCCTGGAGCTTTTAAAAAACTTAATGACAGCACAAGGGTAAGAAACTTCTGAAAACTAATTAGCTATGTTATTTAAAGTAACACAAACTATTTCTACTCAAAACTAAAAATCTCCCATTCTAACAAAATGTTGGATACTTGGTTTTGCGAACAATAGTTTCTATCATATTAATTATAAAGTATTTGTAAAATAATAAATATTTTTTTCAAAGAACTGATTGAAGCATACATGTGACATAAGGAAGGGTTTGTATCAATCATTTTCTTTAAAAGTTATCACAGACAGAAAGATAAGTAAGCTACATATTCGAAACATTAAGTTAATTTTGTAGTAAGTTCAGAACAATGGCTCTTGAAAGCCTTTGGTCAAAACTCTGAAACTGGATGGGGCTCCTCACCTGTGCTAGTTATCCATTTATTGCCTCTTAAAATTCACCCTTCACTGCCTGCTCCATGAGAATGAATATGGGTTTGACAAACATTTTTCATTCATAAGGTGGTGAAATGCTAGTCTTTGTGGATAGAGGGTGCTGGAAAGACCTGGGAGAAGAAAGGGTTTTTGTTTGTTTGTTTGTTTTTTCCCTTGGTTCTGGTGTGTACTCTTGCAGCAGTGTGAGTGGCTTTGCCAGGACAAGGTTCCTACAGTGCTCGAGGGCCAGTACCACCTGGCAGTCAGTAGCTTCCTTTGGCATATTCTTTGGATAGTTTTGTGAGAGTGCCTCCAATAAGACATCTCCTTGGGAACAGCTTTCCTGGTGCCCTAGAGGACATATTTCTGGAAGTCCCATCAGCACCACACCAATCGTATACTGTCCAGCAAGGTCAGGAACTTATCCTGGGGATGGGGAAGCTCTTCCATGACCAAGATATTTCAGTTCTGGGGGTAGGGCTTGTCCTTTATATCTGCTGTCCCTAAACCCTTTAAAGTTCTCTTTACTTCTTACTAGCCAATCCCTCATATTCAAACTCTTTGTGATCGTTAAGAATTCTTTACACTAAATTTTCCTCTGTTCAAATTACTGCATCATTTCTGATTGTACCTTAATTAATACACCATAATAAATCACCTCTGTTACATAAAGTTTCTTGAAACATATCCTCAAAAGCTATGGAATTTATAACACTTCAAGGATATATTCAAGTTATTATAGGAAGTCTATGTCAAAAACAGTAACTCAAGAGGGAGATTATGACCAGAAGGGAAGCTTCCAACAAGAAGTGACTTTGCAACTCTAATAAGTTGCCTTGGGAAAGAGACAGAATAGTCACTCCTTCCTGATATTAAAGATATGTAAGAAAACTGAAGTATTACAAAATTGCTTGATTCCAATTCCAGCTGCAGAATTTATGTTTTCCAAAGTGAACTCAATGATAATTAGAATTTTTTAATTGTACTACATCAATAATATGAGTTAACTCACAGTTACTCTTCATTTGAATCAATCTGAACATAATAAGATGTAGAGACATATGTGAGTTAAGTATTATTGAAAGTTATAATACCATCCCCTTCCAAGTAGGTGTGCAAAAAATATGCAACTAAAATATTGCATTGTATTTTATTAAAATACAAAAATATGAATTCATTGTATAAGATGCTTTCCAGTAAATATTTCTTATTATTTATTTTATCAATGAGTTTTGTTATGGTTTATTTTTGTCCTAAACTATACAACAGTACATTAGAAAATGGAGGCTATTATATAAGAAAAGAGGGCTTACGACAATTAAGATCTTGATAGAAAGTGAACAATAAATCAATTTTTATGGATCCACTGTTATTCAAAAAGTTAGTGCCCAGAAATAGAAGGAGCATTCAGTTCTTCTTTGCAGATGCCTAGACCCATACTGACAATATTTTCACTTGTAAATCCTGCTTTCACTGCCAATTCAACACACCCAGTAGCACAACTTATCAAATATTTTAAAAACCAGAGTTTTCTCTATGAACCCGTGGGCAGCCCTGTGTGTACTTGATGTTCTCCCTATCTGTGTGACAGCAAGAAGACATCACAGCATAGTGGTTAAGAACAGACTCTGGCACCAGACTGTACTATAATAAACTCTCGGTTGTACCTCTAATGATTGTGTGGCCCTTGGCATCTCTGTGTCTCAGTTCCTCATCTGTACAATGGGGAAAATAATAACTCCTATTTTACAGGGTTACTATGAGAATTACATTGAATAGATATTTGAAAAGTGCATAGAAGTTCTGGCACACGATTGAGTATTGTGTTATATGGTAGTCCCCTCTTTCACTTAGAGAGTCTCACTCAGCCCCTGTTGAACTGATTAACAAACCTCCTTAGCTCTTTGGCTCTGGAATCTGCCTGACACCCAGGCCGAAGATCACTGGGCATATGGCCAGCTAGGGCCCCCATTGCCTCCTACCTGAGAGCTGAACCTCCTCAATTAGCCTTGCCTCACAGGCTAATTTATAATCAAAATCAGAGTAGGATTATATATTTGACTTATTTTTTAATCCTCTTCAGTACACCAGAATGGGGTCTGGCATAAATTAAAGGTTAGATAATACTACTTAATGGATTATATGACATCAGCAACCTGGCTAATGATTTTTTTTTTCCACTGTGGTTACACTTGGGATTAAATCCAAACCCCCTGACCTACAAGTTGTATTCTCACCCCTGCTTTGCTTTCTCCCATTTCATCCTCCCCTAGTTCACAAATTTTATTTTTCTTCTCTTGAAAACAAATTCTTTCCTACTAGTTCGATCTCATTCTTTAGGAATTAGCTTAATGATCTCACCTCCTCAGAGTGGCTTTTCTAAAAT